CCACCAGGAGAATCAGCAGATCATGCTGATATAAAATGACTACTTTTTTATTTATTTAATAAAATTTCTGAACTCAGAGGAATCCTAGAAACTTTTAAAAAGGAAATCTGCCTATTTAATAATTTTTTCATGTCTAGGAAGTAAAGATAATGTAAAGGACAATGTATCTGCTCGTTTAAATAAATCTTCTCTGGCCATATATAGAATTGCTGGTTTCTGTGGCTTGTTAGAAGCAGCTTTTGATATGGTACCGATTTATATTGATCAATTTGTGTCGTTCGATAATGGTGAAGTCAATGATTGGTTCTTTGAACGTTGTTCAAAAATTGCTGAAAATATGTATGGGCCAGTTTTACGCAAAGATGAAAGATTCGTTATCAGTACAGAGATATGCAAAAGATCACAAAAGGTTAATGTACAAAATCTAACTCAATACCTATCACTGATGAAAGTATCTGATGAAGATAAAAAGAAATGGATGCATTCATGTGGTAAAAACATCAGATCATGCATTGAATTTTCAACAATAGATGGAAATGAGTTACCAGAAACAACTGATATTTCTAGCAAACCTGAATTAGCATTAAGTCGTAAACAGGAAAATATGTTAAAAAAAACCAATCATTATATGGCTTCCATTTTGCTTCATCCTTCTTTGGTTTTTTTAAAAAGTGGCTTATATATCAATAGTAGCTTAAAAAAAGCCAGCTCGTTATTGGAATCAAGTTTTTTAAATCCACTAGTTGATGAAGGATATATAGTAGCTATTCGTAATGGTCTCATCTGTAAAAAAAGCAAAGTGACAGTTTATATTAAAATGTTACCATCAGATGATAATGCTTCAAAGGAAGACTTTGCTGCACGTTTAGCATTTTTGAATGATGTACGTTTAAATTTTGATACATATATGGCATCTTGTAATACCATTTCACTTCACACTATGGGAATACTTAATGAAGAGGTTATGCATGTGCTTCAATTAGAACGTTATGAACAGTTGAACATTGATTTTAATTCTTTTTTCCGACGTATTGACAATGGAAATGATGGTCCAACATATGGTAAAAATTTCAATTTCAACTAATATATATACATATTATTTTAGAAATTAATTGTACCGTATTGGCAAAAGAAAATGAATTAATTGAAAATCTCATGGTTTCACAAATTGAAGATAACAGTTCCTCAGTAAACGATGAAAGTAGTAACAATAGTGAACATCAAAAAACTAATAGTATCCGCTCTTTTGATATTCTTTCTGAAAGTATGTTTTAACCATTCGTGTATGATCTTGTTAATAAGTTATAAATTTTATCTGATCAAGATGATGGTGCAGACGACAGTCGATGTAGTGGTAATAGATTGGTAGTAATACACGAAGAAATAATTCAACAACAAGCTGTAATGGATGATACTGAACCTAATCATGTGAGTATTCATTATAACTTGTTAGCGGGGGAATGGATCTAAATGATCGAAACTAAAATGTTTGCTATATTTTTCAAATCGCTTCAACATATACATATACATATACATATGTATGACATTCTGTATGATAAGAAGAAAAAGAAAATCCTATGTATATATATATTGTACATGTCATCTATACGAGAAGAGAGAGAGAGAGAAGAATAAGAAGAAAAGAAAAGAAAAAAATATATATGTCAATAATACTATAACAGAAATAAAACTATATTGTAGATTGATTATTAAAAAAAAATTGACAACCCGATAAATATAATATATTTTACTTTATAGACAACCAAAACAACTACCAAAAAGCGACAACATAAAATGAGTATTGAAGAAATACCTGAAGATAATTTAGTTGAAGGTAAAATATATCATGTACTTATAAATTATCATTTCAAGTTTATATAAATAGATGAATCTTATACTGAAACGATCGCCAACAGAATGCAAAATAATAAACGAAGACGTGGACGACCATGTAAAAAATAATTCGTTTATTATTCTCAAATTAAATAGTATGGATTATGCTACGATCAGATGATTAGTCATTGAATTTGTGACACATAATACTCTATTTCAATTATTTTTTTTTGTTGGTTCATCATCAACCATTAAACTCCTTAGAAACTTTTACTATTGGATATTTCTTTATTTCTTGAACAAGAAGAGATGAAAGTCTTATTCTACATTTTAAATTATAGATTTATAGTATTTATTATTATATTTAATACATTAATCTGAAAAGATATACGTATGTCTCAACTACCGAATCAGAATAAATATGATTCATTGTTGAATCAATTTCTGGATAGTAACAATTTAATAGAGGAGAATGAAAGCGAACGGATGAAGTTATGGTTGGAAGAAGCTGCCAGCAAGCTACGTAGTGAGTTCCGATATTATCGAGGTAAGATAACCGGCAAAATTGTTTTCATCACGGTAAAACACAACTGTTTAGGAAGTGATACAAATAACGACACCGTGGTTAATAAAGACGCAAAATGCTCGGAGTACACAGATGAACTGAACACTGCTATGTGTATATCATTACCTAGTGATTGCTCGGAAGAAGAATCAAATGAAGAAAAAGAAAGGGTAGCTATTTCTCTGATCTTGTAATAAGATTATTTAAATTATTTTTAATTTTGTTCTAGGTCAAGAAACGATCACGTGCGAACTATTCATCTGAAATAAAAACGCCATTAACAAAACGATTGAACACAGATCAATCGTTTTTAAATGATGTTCTAAGTTTAGATATGATATCTATTTCTTATGATTCGAAGGATAAAAATGTTCTAAGTGAAGTAAATGATGTAAGTAGTTGATTTTTATCTACAGTAGCTTATAGTTTGAATTTTCAGACTTCTGAATTAAGTTTTGAAGAAGCAAATAAAACAACCACTATACCAAAATCAACATTTATAAATACGTCAGTCACTTCGGAGCAATCTACTAGCATTGATATCGAGCACAAAACATCTAACTCACAATCAATACCGACAATTAATTGTCACAAATCAAGTTGTATATGGCCAAAAGGAATTTCCGATCAAGTAGATTTTATTGAATTTGTTATTAGTGATGAAGAAATGAATGCTTATTGGGAAACTGTAAAAGATTTTTTTTAAGTATTTTGTTTAAATACAAATTTTAGTACCATCGTTTTATTAAACATATATAAAAGAAGATTTACGATAAAAACATTGTTTTTTAGATTCTAATATTAATCATGTCAAACATTTCTAGTCGAACTAGTCCAGAAGAGTTGAAAGTATTGACTGAAATTTACAATATATTTCATCCACAAGAATTACATTTTTTAATTGAATTAAATGAACGTTGGTCTCAATATGATCCAAATAGAATTCAAAATATGACCATTATCTTAAGAGAGACGTTTGCTTCGGAACACAAAGAATCAGACATCGAACGTATAATCACATATTTCAATTCTCAAGATTCTATTCGAATCTTTTCTCCAATAAGTGTTACTACGGTTCTTGATCTAAGAGATCAAACAATTCATCTCAACCCATATCAATCAACATGTCCGATTTGTTCATCCGCACTTACTGCTGAAATGGCAGATGTATTATCTGTTCAGGTATTTACTTTAAAGGGCAAAATAGATAAAGGTAATGATAACATTTCTTTATGAACATGTAGAATTAACAAATAGAAATTGTTTTAGGTAAAGTGTTCTCTGTATCATGTAAACATACCAACACAACTTTCAACATGTGTCCAATAGTTCATGTATTTCCAAATTATTATCAACAGGATAAACTATGTTCATTCACATCTCAAAGTTTACAAAGTGGTAATATGGTATATCTCGGAGGTAGACAAGTGTTTGAACAAACATTGATTGAGAATTATACATGTCAACTATTAAGCAAAGCTAGTTCATGGCAGAAGTTTGTTGATGGACTTAATCTTGGTGCATTTAACTCAAATTTAACTGACACAAAAATTGAATGGCGAAAAAAGTTGGCTATGGCATTTATGAAGTTCAAAATAATTCAATTTGACTTATCTTTAGGCTCAACAATAGTATCAGTACCAAGTTCAGCTTGTCAATTTGATGAATGGATCTGGAATGAGTTTCCACGTCTTCTCACATCATTTGTTTACCTTTGGAGTAATCACAAGAACTTGATTGGCCCTTGTGCATCAAATTGTAGCCAATGTATCGTGATTGACGGCCATCAAAAGTGTCGTAGAAGGATATGCCGAGCAAAAAATGTACAAGTTTCAACTGAAGAATTTAATTCTTTGACAGTAGGATGCTGCCGAACTCCACGTATTGGATCATTGTTTTGTGATTTACATCAACACTTACAAGATACAAGTGACACTTCACTAACGTTATCGAAAAAAAAAAAGAACAAAATGCGAAAGTCCATACCAAAATTGATGAGAAAAAAGTATCAACAACATGGATTTGGTGCAACAAATTGCCGAACATTCAAGCAAAAATCACAGTCATACGTTGAACGATGTAACAGATCATTTGGTATTCTTGCAGCTGTAACAAATTGCAAGATTGTTATTACATATTCAGAAATATTTCGATCGGAGACATTACGTGAAATAATTAGTCTTCTGTGTTCAACAATACGTGGTAAGTTAATATAAAAATATAAGAATAACGGAAATTTAATATTATACAAATAGATAGTACATTAGATACTGAATAATATGCTTGTACAAAAGACAACAAATTATGACAAATTTTATTTTCAAATGTGCCATTCTACGTACTATTATAGTCACTATAGAAATCATTTTATCAGTTTGAAAGAACAGTTATACATTCTAGACTTCACTTAATAATTTTACAGAGCTGCCCATGTAACAAAATTTGACGTAAAAATCAACTGAAAAATGATTATAATCGGTTATAATTTGATTAAAAATCGCTTTAAATCATACACCTTTAATCGATTTTTGACATTTTTAATCGGTTCTAATCGGATATAACTGAGAAAAAATCAACTTTTCTTGATTATTATGAAAAACCATAATTAAAATCGATCAAGAATTCACAAAAAAATTGATTATAATTGATTTTTGTCAATGACAAATGTGAAAGTATAGTTCAGTTTTCATTGATTATAATCAATTTTTTTTGTGAATTCTTGATCGATTTTAATTATGGTTTTTCATAATAATCAAGAAAAGTTGATTTTTTCTCAGTTATATCCGATTAGAACCGATTAAAAATGTCAAAAATCGATTAAAGGTGTATGATTTAAAGCGATTTTTAATCAAATTTTAACCGATTATAATCTGATTTTTCTTTAAATATTTTTACATGGGTGATTATTTCATTTTTTTCGAGCATCTGGCTTTAACTTTCCTAAGTGTGGTGTTTATGACGATGGCTGCCACTTGGTAGAGTTCATCCGAAATCATTTTGAAGATGATCTCGTACGCACACCAGCATCGACACTATTATATGAGACCAAATTTAGTGTCGATAGAACACACTTTAAAGGACACGTAGGACGATGGTGTCGAGCGCATATGAACCCTTACAAAAACAAAAGTAAACATTTCTTAACCTAAACGATTGTCACATTAACTTCTTATATGATTAGTGCTGGATAACATTAACACTCAAGCAGCAGAACAATTATTCAGTTGGGTCAAAACCTACGCAAATATTCTTAGCACTCTTGGTTGGCGTAGAATGCCAATTTATTTATTATTAATATTTCATTATAAAAACTTAGAACGTGTCGGAATACGTCCAACACGTATATTTAATATTGTAAGTTAGTTAGTTAGATCATACTTCCATCTCTATTGAATTTTTACAGATTTCTTCAATTCCAAACGTTCCAACAATTAGTCTCGCTTATATGGCAGACGTTAAACAAGTTCAACAACATGAGGTGAGTTGATTCTGTTTAAAAAAAACTAAATATAAACATATACAGGATGCCATCAAGCAAACAACTACAGCACCACCAACTACTGAAAACAAATTCAAAGTATGCAAAACAACCAAAAAAAATTGTAAACAAAATTTTCAATAATAGAAAACACAAAGAGCCAATTTTCCAGAACAAATCAATCTAAATTCTCACCCCTCGAAACTCAATCCATCTCAAGCTGTTCAGATGACAACCATACAAGGGATGGTTGCGCACATGGAAAAACAAGCACAAAAACAACAAACAACAATGACTCGAAAACATCAACGACAACAACGAAAAAATCAAGCAAGAAGAAAATCTTTCAAGCTACAAACAAAACCCGATCATCAACTCCATTTCAACAACTCATAATCGTTTCGTACCAAACACGTCGACTTTTCGAATAACAGTTTAAAAAAAAACTTCTGGAATTTATACTTTTAAGAAAGACACGACCATTAACCATATTATTTTCTCTAAAATTCCATGCACAAATATGTTCTTTACTTCTTCAGAATGAATCAAATATTCTTGCACAACGACCGACAAGAAATATCTCATTTCATACTTCCATCTCTTTTCAGTAAACATATTAATTACAAACTTTCTTACCTAGAAAAAACTTCACGTCTTACTCTATAGCACTTCACTTTCTCCTCAAGAATGAAAATATCGATAAATCATTTGGTATTATAATTTATTCATTTATCTTGGTTAAAAGCAATATCAGCTAGAATATCATCTTAAATTGTTAAACAAATAGACAATCATTTCTGCTGATGAAAAACCAAATCTGCTAGAATATCTCCTTAGATTGAAAAAATAAAAACATCCATATCTCTGTTTTCATTCTTTCATTTCTCCTGATGAGTGGAGATATGGATGAACCACTTCTCTTCACTATTTATTCATTTCTGCTGATGAAAAACCATCTCTGCTAGAATATCTCCTTAGAGTGAAAAAAGAAAAACATCCATATCTCTATTTTCATTCTTTCATTTCTCCTGATGACTGGAGATATGGATGAACCATTTCACCTTATTTTTAATTCATTTCTGCTGATGAAAAACCAAATCTGCTAGAATATCTCCTTAGAGTGAGAAAAGAAAAACATCCATATCTCTGTTTTCATTCTTTCATTTCTCCTTATGAGTGGAGATACGGATCAACCATTTCTCTTCATTATTTATTCATTTCTGCTGATGAAAAACCAAATCTGCTAGAATATCTCCTTAGAGTGAGAAAAGAAAAACATCCATATCTCTGTTTTCATTCTTTCATTTCTCCTTATGAGTGGAGATATGGATGAACCATTTCACCTTATTTTTAATTCATTTCTGCTGATGAAAAACCAAATCTGCTAGAATATCTCCTTA